TTTTTTTTTTTTTTTTTCTAAAAAACATTTGCTTTTTGTGTTGTTTTGAGTTATGAATTCTAAAAATAGTTGTTTTTAATGTAAACTTTCTTTCTGAAGAAAAAAGAGATAAAACTACGTTATTTTTCGACTATAACTGTGCAACAGTGAAATGTCAAAAATAAAATCTCCTCAACAACAACAAAAAAAAACATTTCTTTGGCTAAACAAAGCTAAACAAATCAAAGTGTTGCCAACATAGTTTTTTATCACCAAAAAAAAAAAAAAAAAGTGATATTTTTATTTCCTTCTTTTATTAAAAAAAAAAAAGTGATGTATGAATTGATGCAGTTAAATAGCTGTTAAAAGCAATCGCTAAACATCTTTTAGCAAGATAAGAACCAGTAAAATATATCATCAATTTATTTGTCTATGCTTTTTTGCCCAACAAAGATCAAGTTTATAGTTCAAAAGTTGTGTTTCCAATTTCTAAACAAAAAAAAAAAAATCAGGCTTTAATTCTGAAGACGTAATAACTCTGTTGAATAATTCACTGAGATAACTGTATGTTTGTCGAAAATACAATTTTACATTTTAGCAGTTTCTTATTGTTCAATTAGTGTCGGTTAAAATTAAACAACAAATTTATTTGGTCAAATTCTACCAGTCTACAAAAGCTAAAAACTGAATAATTCACTGTATCAAAAGATTGGTAATACTGCTGTCCCAACAGCAGTATTCCGAGAATAATTTTCTTCAGCAGCACTATCAGTAGAAAAAAAAAATGACAGTTTCAAGCTGTTTACTAATTAAGGCAAAAACCAAACTTTACCGCACTAAACCAACATTTCAGCAACAACGTCAATAACAGGTTATGAAGTAAAAACCAGTTTTTACTCTTAATGATGGTAAAAAATTACTGATGAAGTAGTGACGCAAATCTGAAGCTTATACACTAAAATCAAGAATATTTTTCAAAAACAATACAAAAAAAAACTACAATAACTCTTAGTTATACCACTGCTGTACAGCAGTAATTACTGTGAACAAAATAAAAACGGTAAATAATTGTACAAATATAATAAAAAAAAAAAAAGTAAAAATAAAGAAGGAAAAACGGTTTTCGAATCGATAACTTTTCTTAACCCACTGTAAACAAATGCGCAACTTTTATGGTTCTTCCAAACCATGACAAACCTATCTGAAAGAAACCACATTTTGATACTTGACAGCATCTAAATTTTTTTTAGCCTTTCCGTAAATCAAAATATTACTGCTTAATAAGTGTTTTTACTACTGTTATTATTGGTATCGACTGTTTCAAACATTTTTT